GCCCTTCACCTTGGTGGCTCCTCAGAGGCAGGGGAGAACACCTAGGGAAGGATCAGCTGAAAAGTGGGTGGGGCTGTCACCTAGGATCAGTCCTGACCTTCCAGAGCTGGGTCATCTCGCAGAAAGCAACTCCCACAACCCTGCTCCCCTCCAGGGACAGCACCCCCACTGCTTCCCCACCAGCCCTGGGTTTCCTCACTAGCCCCCTCCCCTCCACACAGCCCCCTCCCCCTCGCTCACCACCACCTGCTCGTTGATCTGAACAACCTCATCTCCAGGCAGGACCTGCCGGCAGGAGTCAGTGGGGACCTGGAATGGGGATTGGGGCCCAGGAGTGAGCTTTCCTGGGGCCTGGAGCTGGCGTGGCCGCAGGTGAGAGGCCTCAGGGCTGGGTAGCTGGCAGGGTGGGGGTGCTCTCACCTGGATGCACACTCGGGACACAAAGTGCAAGCAGTTACTGGTGGTGTAGATTTCCACGCCCTGAAGAGGCAGAGGCTATGGTCATTGAGGGCTTGATTCTAAGGTGGGTGGAACTGGGGACAGAGCTGGCCCCAAGAGCATACTGCTCCAACTTGCTGTGTCACTTTGGGCTTGTTGCTCTTCTCTGGTCCTCTGTTTCACCCTCTGATAAAGGGCCAGGAGGAAGCTGGGGTCACTGCTTTCTGAGGTACTAGATTCTCGGCAACTTTCTTGAAGGGAGAGAGAGGGATGGGGTGGGAGAAGGGCAGGGCTGGGGGCTCTGATTTTCCCAACTGGTTAAGATTAAAGCAGAAAAGTTCATGTCCTCTCCCCTCTATCCTAACCTGCCCCTGAGCCTCTGCCAGGTCTGCGTCACAGAACACAGGAACATGCCACCTGAGACCATGCCATGCAGACCCTCAGGACTGGGGAAGGTGCTGGATGATGGTGAGATCCCAGGTAGGTTGTTTGGACCTCTGTTTTAACATCTGTACCTGACAGGTTTCCAGCTACCAGTATAGGAGGCTGGGGATCCTAGACCCCATTTCAGGGCCCAAAGTGTCAAGGGCTCAGAAGTGACAGGTGACAGGGCAGGGCTCACCGAAGGCTCTTCCAGCTGCACCTGCTCCAGCACAGCCCTCTGCTCCAGCAGCTCTTCTGGGCTGCAGCTCAGGATGCTGCGGCAGATCTCGGCCACTTGGCTGCACTGGGGAAGGGAGCAGATTGTGAGGCTGAGCCTGATCCCAGCCCACCCTGCTCCCATCGCAGTCCACGGGCACCCCACAGACTCACGATCCTCAGGACTCTTCTTTCCTTCTCGGCCTCTGGGAAGTCCTAGAAGCAGAGAGAGGAGGCCTCCCCTGTAACCCTAACCCTAACCCTGTGTAAGGGTCATGGGGGAGGGGGACTACCTTCTCCTGAGGACATGGGCAGGTCCCTCCTGTCCCTCCTGGCTTCCCCTATTCTGGCCTTTTCCCAGACCTATAGGGCCTCAAAATCTCAACCCCAAGGTCTCATCCTCCTGACACCAGGCCCCCAAAGTCACCATACATTCTCCCCCTACCACCACCTCCTGAGCATTAAGAGCCCTGAGCTTCTCTGCGGAGACCCCCATACTCCTGCTGCCCCGTACCCAGTGGCAGGGCCTCCTCTTCTCCTGCGCTCTTGCCCCAGCTCTCACACCCAACCCTGGTCTGATTCACAGGTTATAAAAAGCTCCGGCCTGGTCTGGTCTCGGGGCTGGGCCAAGCCTGGCCCATGTCCTCCTACCTCCTGCAAGATCTGGCTCAGTTCCCCGCACAAGGCCCCGATCTCCTGGCAGGCTGAGAAGTCATTTAAGTGGGAGAAGAGGTACCTGGCAGGGGAAGAATGGCACAGGGGCTCAGGGGCGGTGCTGGGCCACTTGGAGACAATTTCTCATCTGAGACTTTGGGAGCATACACAGCTCCTGCCCTGATGAGTGTTGCTTTGGAATAAAGGAGGTAACTGATATATCTAGAGAGGTCAGCACAGGAATTATTTGTCATGTAGCTATTAGGTACCAGGCCCTCTTCTAGTTACTGGGGAGACGGACAGTAAACCTGTCATTATGTCAATAATGATTTAACTCTGACTGTAATGAGTGCCCGAGATGTAGAGCTCTGAGAATGACTTGACAGGGAAAGAGTTCCAGAGGAGGTGACATTTGAGGTGGGACCTACAGGACAAGCAGCAGCAGCTATTGAAGGGTCAGAGAACCATTTAATGGCTGTTGATAAGACTGTTGTGATAACAAGTGGGCAGGATGGGAATCCAGGTGGTCAGCGCCCCTGCCCAGACAGGCTAACTGCTCTGCCATGTCTGAACAAGAGCCATCCTGTTCTTCTCTCCCAGGTCCTGGAGCAAGCCAAGGATGAGAAGGGTCCCCTTACCAGTCACCCCAACCTGGGTACCTGTTGAGCCAGAAGAGGAGCACACGGGCGTCACGCACCAGCTCCACAGCTGCGCTGAGCACATCCGCAGGGGTCTCAGCACAGTCCCCCAGGCGGCCTTGGACTAAGCTCTGGAGGGCCTGGGTCCCCTCCAGCAGCCGCTCTGTCAGGGTCTGCAGGTTCTCTGTCAGCAGCCCAGAGCTCTGTGCCAGAAAGGGCCAGGTCACTACTGCGGCAGTCGCCCCCACCCTCAGTTGGCAGACCTGCCATCAGTGTGGCCATAGTTCGCTCACCAGGGCCCGGAGCTGTTCCACCCCATCCAGAATGAGCTCCTGATGGCCCAGAGGCCACACGGTCAGAGCCTCGAGGCTGCGGGGACAGAGCTGGAGCAGGTACTTGCCAGGCAGCTCCCAGTCTTCAAAGGGATAGTCCTGCAGGGAGTCGTCTAGGCCTGTGGCAGAGCAAGGGTTGGCAGGAGGGGAAACAGGGGTCACGACCTTTCACCAGTTCTTCACTCCAGCAGACCTCTTTTCCCTCCCATCTGTCCCCAATGACACCCTGGGACTCAGGCTGTGTTCTGTCTATTTCACACCTGAGGCCACTGAGTAGCTGAGGACTGTATGGGCAGTGGCTTTCAAAGGTGGTCCTTGGACCAGCAGCAGCTGCCTCACTGGGGAACCTGTTAGGAATGCAAATTCCCAGGTCTCAGCCCCCAACTACTGGAGCAGACACTTAGGGCTAGACCCAGCGGTTTGTGTTTAACAAATCCTGCAGGTGACTCTGATGTTCCCCTAAGACTCAACACTAGTAATATAGAGGATGAGAGCGAGGGACTTGGAGTCAGGGAAACCTGAGAGCTAGCCCTTGAGCAATTAATGATTGCTCCATGCCTCAGTTTCTTTACATGTAAAATGGGAACACAAAAGTACCTACCTTCTAACCACATGTGTATTAAATGACATGATATATGTCAAACACTTGGTCCATTCCCTGGTTTGTGGTAGATGGGCAGTAAATAGCAGCCATCATATTATTACTGCCAGACTCTACCATGATTTACAAGGCCCTGCATGATTAGGTCACCACCTGTCCTTCCAGGATTGTGGCACAACCCCTCCAACTCAACACTTCAGATCCAGAGAACCAACTCCTTGGAAAACTCTTTTGCCTCAGGGTCCCCACATGCTCTGTTCCTTCTGCCTGGATTGCTCTTCCAGTTCCATCATATCCTTTTGTTTACAGAACCCCAAATACCTTCCACAGCTCCCCAGGTTGGGTGGGGAAGCCTCTCCTCTTGGTTCCACTGTCCCCTGAGCCTCCACATACCCTGGTACTTGAACATCAGTCTTTTCTATCATTGGTCCTTCAAAGACCAGGCCTTAAATAACCATTCATCCCTAATCTCCAGCCTATTTCTGACACAAGGCAGACACTCAAAAATAAGAAAACTCTCTCTTGAGCGCTTACTTAGTGCTAGGAAAAGTTTTATGGGCTTTACATATATTGACACATTTGACCTCTGCCTCATTTCTAGGAGGTGGGGACGATAGTCATACCCATTAAACAGATGGGAAAACTGACACAAGGGCGAATAAGCAGCTTGCTCACTCTTTGGAGGAATTCCACCCTGTGGGAGCCAGGCTTTCATTGGGGAATTTGGGTGTGTGGTCAATAGCGCTCCCTCATGCCCACAGTGGCATTAAGAGCATTAAGAGTTCATGAATCTGTGGCTCCCTGGCTATGGATCCTTGAACAACTTCACAGTGAATGTGTTGGACCACCTGCCTCCCAGCAGACCCCAGAACTGAGTTAAAAGTGCTAGCCACGCCAAGACTATCTCATTTTGTCCACTTCATGGACAGAGAAACTAAGGCCTATGGTCACAGAGCCAGTGAGTGGTGGAGCTGGCCTGAAACCCAGTTTGGCAGTGCGGCTCCAGTCCTGAGTGGGCTGCTCACCCTGAGCCTGACCCCAGGCCACTCAGGCTGCCCCCGCTGGGAGGAGTGTCCTGACTCACCGCCCACTCCAGCGGCCCCCACAGAGGGCTCTCACTGGGTCTGTCTGCACTTTGTGGCTCATTGGGCCTAGGGAGCCTCTCCCTGGAATGGGAGCCCCCAGAGTGGGACTGTGTCACCCACTTCGGTCTGGCTGGGGCTTCTGCTTCTCCCCCTGGGAGTCTCAGCCTAAAAGGGGGATATGACACCAGGACCGCTCCTGTTTCAAGCCAGCCGACCACTTCCTGGCTGTGCGGCAGGTTCAGCTTCTGAGAAATGGGTTTAATACAGCTCTCTGGGCCCTGGGGCACAGGGAAGAGGGAGGCGACAGAGGGCCCCTCGGTTTTCATGGCCTCCCCGCCCTGGGACCTCTTGGTATGCAGGGACGATGAGGGACCCACGTCTGGTCCCGAGGCCCTCGGGGGCCACCGGTCATCCGGGCACAGTACCTGGGACACGGCAGACCTCCATAAACACCTGTTGACTAACAGACTCCGCGGGTTTTGCCCTTTTCCTCGCCCGACTTTCTGCCGACGCGACGCCGCGTTAGCGCCCCGCGGGCCCCCTCCTGCCCCAGCCCCACCCACCTCGCAGCCAGGCTGCCACCTTCCCGGGGGTCCAGGTCTCCACCGGCTCCATGCCCGGCTCCGCCCGCCGCGCCCGCCCGCGCAGGAATTTCCGCTCTGGGAGTCGCGGCCCGGGGCGGCGCCGGGGCGGGGCCGCCGCATACCTGGGCCCACGTGGCCGCGCAGGTGAGGCACCGCCGCAGCCATTGGCCCACCAGCTGTCCGCCTCCTGCCCCGCCCTTCTGGCATTCCTGGGCTCTGCCGGCCGGGGGGTGTGACTCGGGCGACTCAGAGCTGGACTGAAGTCCCGCCCCAAATGGGCTTCGTGTCCCGGAGTGGGGCCTACACCCGCAGGATCCTGGAAAAGGAGCCAGAAGGGGGGCAAAACGCACCTAGCAAAGCAAGAGGGGGTGCGGGGGTGCTGTGACCTGGGGCTGACCCTAACTTGTGTGCATCAGTCCCAGATCTGTAAACTGGAATTCATAGTTTCTACTTCAGAGGGTACTTGCCGAATATCGGCGTAAATAGCTCCCAAACATTTACAAACATTTACAACTGAAGTTTTTAGCTCCCTCTTTATCTTGCACCCCTTCTCCATCTGGTGGGGCTAATTGGACCCTTTCTCAGAATGTGGCTATTTATTTATTTATTGAGACAGGGTCTCACTATGTTACCCAGGCAGGTCTTGAACTGATGGGCTCAAGTGATCTTCCTGCCTCAGTTTCCCCGGTAGCTGGGACTACAGGCACATGCTACCATGCCAGGCCAGAATAACACTTTCATAAGCAGAAAGCAGGAAGCTTAAATTGAGCGTGGTTGCATAGTCCCATCAGCCCTGTTCCTCGAGAGCGTGAAGCAGGAGAATCACAAGTTCAAGACACTCCTGGGCAACTAACCAAGACCCTGCCTCAAAATAAAAAATAATAAATAAAAAAAGGGCTGGGGACATAAGTCAGTGGAGAGCACTTGGCTAGTGTGCACAAATTTCTGGGTTCAATCCCCAGCACTAGGATGAAAGAAGCAGGGTGGAGGATGCAGAAGAGTAATGGAGAAGCCTGGGTCACCAGCATGAGAACAGGTGGATTCACCATTTGGTCTCTGAACTGCCAATTATCATTGGTAGGTGCCCAATGAGTGGCTGCTATATCACAGAAGGGTCTGAAATAGAGAGTGCCATCAGATCTGGTTTAACAGTGGGTTAATAATTACCATGATTGTGAAACAGTTGTGAACATAAATATCTCAATAACTACAATTTGATATGAAAATATGGGATTTCTATTGATGACAAAGCCAAAGATAATGTTACTACTTTAATCCACATAAAAAGAATTGGTAAACCAGGCTTGGTGGTACATGTCTGTAATCCCAGTGATTTGGGAGGTTGAGACAGGAGGACTGCAAATTTGCCACCAGCCTTTGCAATTTTAGAGGGCTGGGGATATAGCTTAGTGGTAAATTATTGCCCCTAGACTAAATCTCCAGTACCAAAAAGAAAAAAAAGAAACAGAAAGAAAAAAAATGACAAATTTTGGTTAGAGATTAGTGAAAATAAATATATAGACATACTTCTTTACCACCCAACTTTATGAATTCCCCTTAATTCTTTTTTTTTTTTTAATCCCCTGATTTCTGAAGCCCAGATAAAAGCCTTCATTTAAGAAAAATGTCTGGTACACACTAAGTATTCATCATCATTAATACTAAGTATTCACCATCATTTCAAGCCAGGAGACTCCTAGGACTTTGGAATCTGAATAAGTTCCAGGCTCAGGTGCAGCATAAATGAGTCCAACTTCTACAATTCTCTGTACCTGTTTCTTTTCTTCTGGGGGCGGGGAGTGGTACTAGGGATTGAACCCAGCTGCACTTAACTGCTGAGCCACATCCCCAGACCTTTTTATATTTTGAGACAGGGCCTTACTAAGTTGCTTAGGGGCTTGCTAAATTGCTGAGGCTGGCTTGTGATCCTCCTGCCTCAGCCTTCTGAGCCACTGGGACTGTAGGACAGCACCACTGCACCCAGCTGTACCTGTTTTCTGCTTTTAAAAGGGGGACGCTTAGACAGTAGAGGTGTGAAAACATCTTTTAAATAGTTTTAAATATATCCCATGTGGTAGATTTTAATTGTTATTGCTGTAATTCTGTGGGAATGGGCCTAAAGGGCTTCCTAGAACCTGCCTCTGGCTGTGCTGCCTTCAAAAATCTCTATCTTGGGCTTGGTTGCCATGGCATGTGCCTGTAATTTCTATAACTCACAAGGTTGAGGCAGTAAGATCACAGGTTCAAGGTCAGCCTCAGCAATATACTGAGGCCTTCAACAACTGAGACTCAGTCTCAAAATGAAAAATAAATAAATAAATAAATAAATTTTAAAAAGGCTGAGAATCAGCATACTACAGTAATGCAGCCATGTCAATGTTTATAGCAGCTCAATTCACGTTAACTAAACTATGGAACCGACCTAGGTGTCCTTCAATTGATGAATGGACAAAGAAAATTGGTATATATACTCAATGGAATATTACTCAGCTTTAAAGAAGAGTAAAATTATGGCATTTGCCAGTAAATGAATAGAGTTGGAGAATATCATGCTAAGCAAAACAAGCCAATCCCCGGATGTTTTCTTTAATATGCGGATGCTAGTTCACAATGAGGGGGGGGCACTAGAGAAGAATAGCATTACCTTAGATTAGGCAGAGGGAAGTAAAGGAGGAGAGGGGAGGGGATGCGGGGATAAGAAAGATAGTAGGTTCAATCCCCAGTATGTATGAGTGTGTGTATGTATGTGTATGTATATATATATATAATTTCTATCTTTCGTGCCCCGACACCCAGCCTTCAAAGCCTGTAGATATCCTACCTGTAGCTCACAGTCTGAATTCCAGTGGACCCAAGGATGGCCCGTGCAGTGTAGCCATGTGTGTGTTAGTTGTCCTCATTGAATAATTTCATATCCAAATTGAGATCTCCAGTCTCTCTGGAACTTGGCCAGCTCTGAGGACCCCCTCCCACCTTCACATTTGGTATCAGCAAGAGGGGAATGGCAGCTACTTCCTTCAAGGAGGACAGGTCCCCACAGGCCTTGCCTCCTTCCACTTGTGAATGAGTAGGTTCAGAATTTGTGGCCCTCCCTCACTTCTCTGGCTTTGTCCTTTACCTACTGTCTTCCTGCCCTGTGATGTCTATGTCCCTAGGGCCATGCTGTATCCTCCTTTAACATTTTTGCCTCTTTATACAACAGCCTCCCCAGGACACTCTGGGTGAGCCCAGTAAACTCTAACAGAGTACAGGGTGGTAGACATATCTGTCTCCACCATCCTGATGTCATCAAATCCTTATCCTGAGCTGGCACCAGGCGGAGGTTGAGAACCCAGTCTAATTTCTTTTTTTTTTTTGGTATTTGTAATTCAACCCAGGGGCACTTTACTTACCACTGGGCTAAATCCCAAGCCCTTTTTATTTTTTGTTTTTGAGACAGGGTCCTGCTAAATTGCTAAGGACCTCACAAAGTTGCTGAGGCTGGCCTTAAACTTAAGATCCTCCTGCCTCAGCCTCCTGAATCCCTGGGATTACAGGCATGGACTGAAATGCCTCAGTTTACTATTTTAACATACTGTGGAGAGCTTAATCAATATATACAGATCTTTTTATTATTGTTCCCAAGCTGAGGATAGGGAAGTCCTTGCAGGAACTTTGTCTTGAAGAAGGAGGTGAAATGTGCCCTCCTTCCAAGGAAGAGAGCACATTTGTATATGATTGATCATATAGAAACCAAATAGAAAAGATGTACTGCTGTTAAAAGAAAGACTAATAATGTACCCTGTCGCTCCTGATTGGTGGCATCTATTATCTGAGGTAGGAATAGGGTCTGGACCAGAGTTGAGGGAAACCTGCCCAGTACCTGCCTGTGCCTGGGATTCCTGAGCACTGGCAGCCAAGGCCACTCCTGCCGATCTGGCCTGGCCTCCCTGGTGAATGGGGGAGGTGCTGCTCAGGCCTGATGCTGATCTCTCCTGACAGCTGCTTCCAAGGCTGGCAGGATGGCAATCAGTGGGGGAAGGGACCAGATTTAAAGATCCAGCGGTCCCTCCCCCTGCCAGATCGCAGCAGGCCAGTCACGGGTGAGCATCCTCTGAGGGCATGGCTTTTGTGCATATGGGAGGTCAGAGACCCTTGTACCCTCATTTCCACTTCTTGGTACCATGAACACGACTGGTCTTCATGTCTGCTAGCATCCCACAGGCCGCCTAGGAGACCGGTGGCTCCCACCATGCGATTTCGACGCCTGACCCCAGGCTACTTCCGGGTACTACAGGTAAGTACCCCTAACTGATGGTTTCTGGCACCACTGACCCCTTTTTCCCAACAGTTCCCCTTGATACCCCCAATAGCCAGGCTGTCACGTTCCCTGCCGCCTGACTAGCCAGAACCCAGATGGGCAGTGAAGCGAGAGGGACTGGGGTGGAATCTCCCTGGGGCGGCAATGGTGCCCGTACTGCCCTCACTCAGCTGCACCATCCCTGCTTCTGCCTGCCTAGAAGTCTCCATCGACCCCTCAGCTACACCTTCTTCACCCTAGATGCAGGTAGCCGGGAAGCTGAAGGCAGAGCCCCGGAGTCCGCTGGCTGGGGTTGTGGCTACACTGCTGGCTGTCCTCGGGCTGGGCGGCTCCTGCTATGCCGTCTGGAAGATGGTGGGGCAACAGCAGCCGCCAGCACAGGCCCCATGACAAAGCAGGCCGCCTCTCACCTGGGCTTTGGAGGTAGGTGACTCAGGAGGAGACTGCAGTCTCAAAACCTCCTTTTCTAGGAATCAGTCCTTGCCCTCATTGGAAGCAGAATAGAATAAATCTTATCCTACTCCCCCACTTCACACTGCATCTGGGGTCCAGGTGAGATGCTAAGACTCCAGAAGGAGGGAAGGGATGTAGCTTCCAAAGCTGGACCAAGTAAGGAGTAGACACCTGGGCCTTGTATGTAGAAGGTAGCTGAGGACTCCTAATAGGGCAGGACTTTGCAGCCAGATGTGGCCTGGAAGTTAGAATCAGAGGTAAGCCCTTTGTCCAGTTCCTTTATTGGGGGACAGGCACCCAGAGGAGGCCAAACCCTGAATCCAAAGAGATTGGCACACTCTCTCCCAGCCTAGCCCTTACACTGCTGTCCATAGGCAGCTCCTCTGCCCTGAATCCTCAGGCCTTGTCATGCAGAAGTGTCCATCTCAGGGACTTCAGTGGACACTTCTGTGGGCACTGCCAGTCGCCGGGGTGGCACATAGGAACCCATGCCCGCTGCCCTCTCTGCCTCTTCCTGACTGTAGGGCTCAATGCTCAGCTGCTTCAGCCTGGGGAAAAAGAAGAACACAAGTTGGGAGCTGACCAAGTGCATGCCCAGCATGCCCTGCATGCCCCACACCCACGCATCAACACTCTTCTTACTCCTTCATACCTTTTCTTGTGGTCTTTGGATCGGAAGTGGGTCTTCAGGTTGGCGGAATCGACAAAGTACCTCCTGCAAGGAGAGGGTGAGAAGACTGAGGAGGTGATGCGTCTCAGATATGCCTGTCTCCCTGACCCTAGCTCATTCCCCGACGCCAGGCTCCGGGGCTGGAGGGATGGATGGGAGAGGACTGGTCCAGAGAGGAGATCCTGCGTGGCCCGGCCCTCACAGCTCCCAGCCAGTACAGCAGACCCTCTCTCTCCCCACGCTCGACTCGGCCGCGACTCACCCGCAGGCCAGACAGCGATGCAGGCCGCCCCCCGGCAGGTCAGGGTCAGGCTCTGTGTTCGGGTTGGGCTTTGCCGGTGCCGGACCCTGCGGCCGCAGCTCGCGGTGAATCTCATCCAGGTCGGGTCGCCGCCGCTTAGCCTTCATTTGGCGGGCCAAGGAGTGCGCTCGGTGCGCGCCTGTGCGGCGGGAGCGACCCATGGCCCGTGACAGCGGGACGAGAGGGCCGGGAGCGGAGAGTGGGCCGCACGTGTACGCGCTTCCCTAAAGCTCAATGACGTCACGAGACGCCCGGGGGCGGGGCCGGACCTGCCCGACTGTTTCTGATGACGTCACTCGCACGGTCCGCGACTTCAGCGCCCCCAGGCGGCGGACGGGCGTGACGGAGCCTGCTCGCCCACGGCGGGAGGCGGCGCGTAGCTGGGGAGGGCGGGGAGCGACGTGCGCCTGTGGGGTTCCGGGCGGGTCCTGTTGCACTGCGCGCCCGGCGCGGCGCCATCATCCTTTCCTGGTTCCCACACCTTAAACCCTACGGTGGAGGGTCTAAGCTTTAAGCATCTCTGGAAGGCACTGATAATGCATGTAAAACGAATAAATTAATAAATGATGAGTGATTGAGTTTGGGATCCCGACTCCAACAGGGCTTTCCGAGATACCTGCAGCCCCTGGCAAGCCCTCAACCCTTCTCGCTTCTTCCCAGTTATTCTATTAAGTCTCTGTCCTCTGCCCGCCCGCCAGGCAAATCCAAGGTGGGGGGGGTGCTGTTCCTACCCAAAGACCCCAGCACCCGGGTCTCCCGTCATTTAACTCCTCTCTCGCAAGAGGAGATACTCACAGAAAGACCCCTATTGCTGCCTCTTTTCTCTGGGCTGGACTTCCCAGGAGAGGGCTTACAGCAAGGGCAGAGATAACTAAATGTTGTAGGCTCACAGGAGGGGCGAGTGCCAGAGGGCCATTCCTCATTCATTGGGTCCTGGTGCCTACCAGACTGGCTAGAGACAACTCCCCTGGACGGTGCCAGAGAAGCTCAGCAATAATTCAGGGGCTCCAGCTCTTTGGAACCTGTTGCCAGGAAACAGAGAGACAGGCACGTGCATCCCTAGGGAGAAGAATAAGTTTCCAGGCCAGACAAAGAAGTGAAATGTAAGCCCAAGGTGCTGACAGCGTCCAAGGATCTTCCCACTCCTGTTCCTGAAGGCTGAGTGGGGACAGAGTGGCCCTGCCAAGGACATAGCTGGTATGGGGACACCAGTGTATGTCATCAACCTATGCAAATAAAGAGAATTTGTCTGAAGCCATTCCAAGAGATTGACAACCTTAAATATTCCTAAACCCAGGAAGGTGACCTCTTCAGAGAGATGTCTTTATTATTGGTGGCCAATATGGGTCAAGACAAGAGACTAAGTTGACAGAAGTCAGCCCCTTCTCAGACTCCTTTGGATCAGTTTCACCTGCTGGGCATTGTGCCAATTAGGGAGGTTGGTGCATCTTTAATGAAGTCACCCGATCGCTGGGACAGGCTCTTGGCCCCACCAAGTTCCCAGAGCCAGATCTATAGGTGCCCACTGAGTCACCACCTTCTGTGCCAGGGTGCCAGGCTCCTTTCTCTTGCAGCTATGAACCAGGCCTTTTGGAAAACCTACAAGTCCAAAGTGCTACAGACCCTGAGTGGGGAATCTGAGGAGGACCTGGCAGAGGAGGTGGGTACCCTTCATGCCTGCTGGGTGGGGCATGGACAGGGCAGCAGGAGGGACAGAAAGAGGAGGGAGAGGCACATTTGTATAGTAACTGTAGGCACATACAGGGATGGCAAGCAGCATGGTGCAGTCAGACAGCCAGGACACCTAAGAAAACTGAGGAAGGAGAGAAGAACTGTGGCTATGGGAGGAGTGGCCACTGTTTCCATCGACCCCAAGGGCTGTGCATGGAAGAAATTCTTCTAAGACCAGTAGGCAGTAGCCACACTCAGTATATGTGGCTTGACACAACTTTCTTTTTTTTTAAATTTAATTTTATTTTTTAAGAGAGAGAGAATTTTAATATTTATTTTTTTTAGTTTTCGGCGGATACAACATCTTTGTTTGTATGTGGTGCTGAGGATCGAACCCGGGTCGCACGCATGCCAGGCGAGTGCGCTACCGCTTGAGCCACATCCCCAGCCCTTGACACAACTTTCTAATAAGCAGAGCTAAGCAGAAGTGGGATGGCTTGCCTTGAGAGGTAGTGAGCCCTCTGTTACTAGGGGTAGGGGTGTGTCACTTGAACTCTGAGCACTGTGTCACTGTAGCAGTGTCACATCAAAACCAAACTTACATCATGCTTTGTTCTGATTAAAAAAAAAAAAAAGGCTCTGCATGCCTGTAATCCCAGCGACTCGGAGGCTGAATCAGGAGAATCCCAAGAACACAAGTTCAAAACCAGCCTCAACAATTTAGCAAGGTCCTTAGCAACTTAGTGAGATCCTGTCTCAAAATAAGAAATAAAAGGGGGTGGCTTGGATGTGGCTCAGTGGTAAAACTCCTCTGGGTTCAATCTCTAGTCCAAAACAAAACCAAACCAGCAACAACAAAAAAACTCTAGGTCTCCTGGCATGATGGCGCACACCTGTAATCCCAGCGGCTCAGGAGGCTGAGCCAGAAGGATCTCCAGTTCAAAGCCAGGGGCAGCAATGGCGAGCAGCTAAGCAACTCAGTGAGACCCTGTTTCAAAACAAAATACAAAATAGGGCTGGGGATGTGGCTCAGTGGTGGAGTGCCCCTGAGTTCAATCCCCAGAACCAAAAAAAAAAAAAAAAATCTATGTCTGGAAGCTGTGATAAGTAGCAGTCAAACAAACAGATGTGGCAGGGGCAGGAACTAGTCCTTTGGGGTTGGTATGTGTGGATAAGTGTATGTCTAGACAGGTTGGTGTCCAAAGTGGGGCCTGTGTGGAAGTCTGGGATGGGACTCTGGGAGGAAGCCCCAGTGGAGGGCTACTGCACTGCGAATTGGATCCAGGTGTCTGCAGGTGCTGGGGTTTGGGCTGGAGCACACGCCTGTCAGCCTTATGCTTGCGTGATGTGTGTGTCCAGGTGTCTGTGGGTAGGTGGAGAGGATTGTGTGCTGAGGATGGGCCTTTGTGCATCTGTCTGCAGTTGTCCACGTGTAGGGGTGTGACGGCATAACTTCATGAGTCGTGTGGGTGCCCTGTGGCACATACAGGGGAAGAGCTTCGGCCCTGTGGGGGCATGCTCATGGCCAGCTATGTCTGTCTACATCACCATGCATACCCTTGCCCACATGTTTCTGGGGGCATCTAGATGTGTCTGTGGGTGGGCTGGTATGTGTGCTCAAGGGTGTCTGCAGGGTTTATCATACATGTGTACATACCTGTGGGCAGTCCCATGTGCCTTCATGGAGGTATGAGGTATGCAGGTGTGTGTTGAGTTCTGTGGCGTTGGGGTGCCTGTGTGTACAGGCTAGCCATGGGAAGGGAGGTCCCACTTTTCTGGGGCTTCTCTCATGCTCTATGGGGGTTTTGTGTCTCAGAGGGAGAACCCAGCTTTAGTGGAGTCTGAGACAACAGAACCTGCTGAGGAGGCCTTCAGTCCCGTGTCACAGCTGGCCCGCAGGGTGAGTTCTCCCTTCTTCCACCCAAACCCTGGGGAACTCGTGGAGGCTGCTGTGGAGCCCTGGGAGGCTGAGCTGGGCCCTTTCCTGACTCCCAGCCCCTCCCTCCCAGGTTCAGGGAGTCGGGGTGAAAGGCTGGCTGACAATGTCATCTCTGTTTAACAAAGAAGATGAGGACAAGCTGCTGCCACCAGAGCCCTGTGCTGACCAGTATGTGTGTGTGTGTGTGTGTGCAGTGGGCAGTTCCAGAAGGGCCTGGGGTCTCTCTGCTCTCTTGTCATTTCCTTCTGATCTCCTTCTCTTTCTAACCATGGAGGGCTGGGGAGGGGCAGCTCCTGGCCCTTCTATTTCTCTCAGCAGGACACTCTACTCACACAGTGTATCTGGGAGTTTGGGTTAGATCTCAGGAATTTACCAGAATTGGGACTGAAGTTGGAGGGTGTTTATGGGCTGTCTTTCCCTACCACTGGGAGAGGCCATCTCCTGAGAATCCCAACAGAGAGGTCCTCTAGGTGTTTGCAACATGCAAGAGAGAGTGGTTCGGAACAACCCTCATCCTCCAAGGGAACATGTGACCAACAAATTCTGGAACCCTCTTCCACAGATTGAGATTCAGGAGGCATGGGTAGTGCCGGAGGATCTCAGCGGACTGAGAGGCACACTAGTTTGGGAATCACTGCTTTGGAAAGCCTTTGATGCTCAGGGGCGGGGGGACGACACAAGCCTCTATCCCCCCTGCTCTGGCTCTAGCACCGGCACCCACTCCATGCCTGGCCTTTCCTCCAGCCCAGTCCACTCTCCCAGCGATTGCCTTTCTGCCCCAGGGTCCTCCTGACCCATCCATCCATCCTGCCCCAGGGCTTTCTTTCCTCTCCCCAGCTCACCCCCTCTCCCTCCTGGTCCTGAAGGCTCTTCCCAGATCTGAGGCTCCCACTTCAAGCCTCACCTCCTTCCAGAAAGGCCCTTCCCCACATCTCCCCTCTACCTCCCAAGTCCCCCTCTCCCCTAAGCTTCAGGACTAGGATTTTCCCTTTCCTCAGATCGCTCCACCTGTCTCTCCCAGGTCCCTAGTCGCCCCACCTTTCCTTTATCCCAGAACCAGCCCCTCTGCCCAGTCCCACCTCGATTCCCTCCAGTGGGCTCCACAAGCCCTTGTCCCCACCCCACGTCTGGGTCTCACTCCTCTTGGCCACCTCTGACAGCTGCTCCCGGGTCGTCCCGCCCCCCCCCCCGCCACGTGGTCCCTTCTCACAGCCTGACTCCGCTCTCTCCAGGGATTCTGGTCTCTTCTCACCAGACCCCTGGCCTAATCCTCTGACCCCCGACCCAACCAGGCGCCTCCTTCCCAGTGCCTCCCCTTGCCCGCAGGCCCTAAGTGACCTCCTCCTGACTCCCTCTGCCCCACTGCTCCACTCGGTTCCCGCCTCTGTCCATTATTCCTTTCTGGGACCCCTGGCCTGCCCCTTGGGACCCGGCCCTCTCCTGTCGCTCACCCGCCCTTCTCCTGCAGCCCTCTGGCCGCGCAGCCCACCTCGCAGGCGGGGGCCACCGAGGCAGAGGCGCGCGGCCCGGGATTCTGGGATGCGTTCGCCAGCAGGTGGCATCAGCAGCAGTCCATGCTGCGGGGCGCCGAACCCACCCCGAATGCGGACCCGGAGCCCCAGGACCAGGCCAAGGAGGAGGCCAACGAGCGCCCGGAGCCTCGGGAGGTGGACCCCGCGGCCGGCTTCAAGTGGGATTTCCTCACCAACAAACTGGCCGAGATGAGGGTGAAGGCCGTGCCCAAAGGTGACTAGCCGGCACGCCAAACTGGGCACCCGCCCTCCGCAGCCCCCATTAAAAAAAAAAAAAAGTAGCCCTACACCTCGTGTGACGGCGTTTTTGTCCGGACAACAGGAAAAGCAAAAGCTGTTTTGGGGTGGGTGGTCTCAGGCGGGGTCTAGTTGGAGATGTCCTCGCACCTTTCCCCACAAAAGTGCTGGCCTAAAATGACCAGGTGGCACACGCCTGTAATTCCAGACACTTAGGAGGCTGAGGCAGGAGGATCGCAAGTTCAATGCCAGTCTCAGCAACTTAGCCAGACCCTGTCTCAAAATAGAAAATAAAATAAAATTTAAAAGGTCAAGGTGGCTGGGTGACTTGGGAAGCCGGGACTGGCTCCATTACTGGCTCAGCCCCATTCGGTTTAACAAACGTGGCCGGTTGTCCCTCTACTATGGAAAGGTCAGACACTAAGGAGAGAACTCACTACCAGCGGGTCCCACAAAAGGTGAAAAATTGGGGCACAAAAATAGGGCCGCAGAGGGGAGCTTAGAGGAGGTGAGGCCGACTGGGGAATTCAGGAAGGCTTCCAGGAAAATTTTTAAAGATGAGTATAGAGAGAGGGAAAGGAAACCGAGGCCAAGGGAGGAAGTGCGTGAACAAAGGCTTAGAAGTGGGAATCTGAAAGGAAAATATGCGACCAGTGTATCCTTTAAAGAAAGGGGAGCAGTAGCTGATTGTAAGGTTTCTGGCTGACAAAATCCGGGTTTGAAGGGTCCCTCCTTGTAGCGACCACAATTTCAGATCCTCGCGTCTCAGTCGTTCTTACCCACTGACCACAAGGGGGCAGCAAAGCGTCGGGAATGAGGACTATTGGGCGGGGTGGGGTCAAAGGACCCCAGGTTTCTGAAACAGAGGCTTCCCCGGGTTTTCCTAGCTCTAGTTTGGATCAACTTTTGGGTCGGTGGCAAAAATGTTCGTATTAGTGTCGGTACCAATTTGATAGTAGTCAAAGCAGCTATTGTTTATTGAGCTCTTTCTATATTCCAGGCACTTTGCTATTCAGATATTTTTTATTATCTACTACTCTCTCCTCCCTTTTAAAACCAAGGGGTGCACACTTTTGTCCAGAGAGGTTAAGTGCTTGCCCAGGGTCACACAGTCAGCCTGGAACCCACACTCCGAAACGGTTGCGCTTAACCACGCAAAACTGCTCACCCTCTTCTTCAACATCTGCCCCCAATCTAAACTCACGACCCACTTAAATAACGGTTTCGATTTATTCAGTAGGTTGGCTCCCATCTCACTCCAGTCATCATCACCCCCCACCCCAGCCACGAGGTCGCTGCCTCCCCTTCCGCAGCCTGCCCTGGGAAGGGACTTCGGGCGCGTTTGGTCCCGCCTCCCCAAGGTTCAGAGGGGTAAACCGAGATCCAGAGGAAGGGCTCGCCCATAGGCGCCGCGCGCGTCCGAGGCAGTGCGTCTCCGCGGGTGTCCAGGTGCAGCCAGCGCTCCCAGCTCCCGAGACGCCGCCTCGGGGGCGGCTGCCGTCACACCTCGGACTCTCGCGGCGGGCCGCGGGCGCGCTGGCAGCCGTACAGCCACTGGATGACGCGCGCGTTGCGCTCCACCACCGACACCGCAGGCCGCCCGTCCCGCGCTGAGCCCGCCGCCTCCGAGCCGCCGCCACCGCCTGCAGCGTCCCGGCCGGCCGCGCCCCCGTCGCTGGATGTCCAGTCGCTGGTGTCCCCGGAGCCGGGCGGCGGCGGCGAGGTTCCGGCCTGGGGGCTGGCGTCGGCGCCCCAGCTCTGCGGGGAGAAGCGATCGGCTCCCAGCACCTCCACCAGCGCGCGCTCCAGGCCGCAGTAGTTAAAGAAACGCTCCTTCTCGGACAGGGGCAGCGAGCACGTGGGGCACAGCGCCCGCTTTCCTGCCGCCTCCGGAGCATCCTGGGGCGCGGGCCAGCCCCCTGGGGCTGCGGGTCGCTCGGTGGGACCCGGGCTGCTCGGGGCAGCGTCCCGGGGGATGCCCAGAAAGAGGCGCCGCACCAGCCCTTGGCCCTTGGCGTTCTCTTTGTTCACCGAAGCCTTGCAGTCCCGCTTCTGGCGGTAGAAGATGAGGGAGTCCGGCCTTGGCTGCCGCCTGCCACTGCCCCGACGGGCCGGTCCAGGCGTCCTGGGCGATGCAGCGGACCCTAGCTCATTGCAGGGGTGCGGGGTGAGCGGTCCTGCGGCTCCACGCAAGGCTGGCTCCTGTCGCCGCACTATCACCTGGTGTGTCTTGACGTACTTGGCTTTATCGGCTTCCAGCCTCTCCACTGCGCTGGGGGTCCGTCCCCTGGATGGGGTGGAGGGAGAGGCCAGGAGCATCGTGGCAGAACTGGGCAGCACAGTGCCCCATAAGCCGCTGGACGTACACAGTCAGAGGAGCCAAGAGCAGTTAGCTGGGGCTTCCTGGGAGCAGCAAGGAGAGAAAAAAGGTCAGGAAGAGGATGGGAGATGTTCCTGTCCGCCTTCTGGCACTCCTGGGCATAGGATCAGGTAGCCACCCTTCCCCCACCCAAGTCAAGTGGGTCCATGTCCAGGGAGCAGAGGCTCAGGCTATCTCCTCTTCCTGTCCTCAGAAATATTTGATGGGGACTCTCTGGCCACCCAAAAATATATGCCTCTTTCAGAGTGCCCCAGTGTGGCCACAGGGCCATGCACTCAAACTCAGCAGACAGGACACTTGGAAAAGGAAATGGGGCTGGTCCCTGCCCAATTCCCGAAAGTGGCCTTAACCGGAAAAAATACCTCTCCCAATCGGCAACTTTAAGCCCAAGACAAGGAGGCTCCGCAGCCACAGGCCGGCTCCAGCAGGGTCCACCCTTCCCGCCCCCAAGCACCGAGGTCAGGGATATAACCACAGGGTAGGAGCCTCCAGTAATTGCAGCCAACTGCCCTGCCCAGGCCCAGCAGGGCTATCCAGGAAGGAGAGGGAGGTGGTCCCCAGGTCATGTCAGCCAGCCACTGTGTGCCCCTGCCAAGGGGATTCCTGAAAACCAAACTGTAAACATCCCCTTGTCCAACCCCAGCATTTCCATTTTATTGGCCAGAAAACTGGCCTAGAGAGGAGGGGGATTGCTCCAGTTCGAGAGTTAGGGGCCTGGACTGGAACCCAGGTCTCTCGCCTTACTGTCCAGAACTGGTTCAGATAGGATCCCTCACCTATTAGAATTTCCCTTTGGGATTCAGCTCTGGTTCCTGCTATCAAATCAAATCATTTCCATTAGAGATGAGTCCTTAGTCTTACTAAAAAGTTCCTTCCACTAATTCTTCCTAATAACCTACACTCACAGAAATCTGCCCTCCGGGTCCCTGCCCCCTTCTCACCCTGTGACCTCTGACCCTGCTCTTTCTCCTCCACCTCCCTGGTGCTGGGGAGGGGGATGAGGAGCGATTGTAAATCAAAAGCTGACAGTTTCCTTGGCAGTTAACAGAATGGGCCACCCACATGGCTTAGCACACCCCACCTCTGTCCTGCTACTCCCCCATCCCACATTCAGCTGAGAGGGACCCATTAGTGCTGGACACTGAGGGGACCTTGGATCTGGAGGCCACAAAGGAACAGACTAGCCAGAGATGGGGCTCGTCTGGCAGCGAGGCTATGCTGGCAGTGTCCCCCACCTTCTCCTAAGGACTGTGCTGGGCAGCAGGTCTGATTCCAAGGTCCCAGGAAGGCACTATGCTTGCCTGACCTTGTGGGTTCCCTGTGTCCCCTCCTCTTCCCAGCCCTGAGTAGGGAAGCTATAAAAAGCCCCTAAACACAAGGACCAAAATAGTCTATGTCTGGTGCCTCTTCCCTGGCTTTGATGGCTGGCCACAAACGAGCCAACCCTAGAAGCCTGATGTCTGTCCTTGTCCCGTCCATTCCTTTGCCTACCTCTCCTCATCCTAGAATTAGGGGTCCCAACTCAACTGGAGGCTTTACTCTGGACGTGGGCCAGCTTCCAGGCTCAGCGGCCAGGTGCCAGCCTCCCTGCCCTCTGCCTGTGGTGTGCGCCCACCCCAGCCCTAGGCCCAGGATGCACTCACCTCTGCGTGGGGAGGCTGAATTGCCAGGGTCCCTGAGCAGTTCCAGACTGAGGGCAGGAGGGACAGCAGGGACTAGAAGTAACTTTGGTGGCAGCCAAACCTCACTCTCCACAGGAAAAGCCGAGAGAGCCTCCACCTCCCCAGATTAACCCTTTCTGATCCAGAGCCTGGCCTCAGTTAACTCCTTCCTGATCACAGCCTCGGTGCTGAAGGGACCAGTGAACCAAGTCCAGCTCCTTTGTTTTATGGATGGGCAGACAGACCCTGCTGGGGTAAATGGTTGACCATGGAGGAAGTGTGAACTTGGGATTCTGCCAGGACCCCAAACAAGATCTCCTGATCCCCAGGCTCCCTCCAGAGGCCTGGAGTGAGGGTGCAACTCATGTGGGCCCCTCAGCTGGGCCTCAGCAGTGGCTCTCATTGAAGGGAAGCAGAACAGGGTTCAATTTTTCCCTTTGTGTCAGGCTTAGGCTTTTTCTTGACTGGGTGTTGGTGGTGGCAAGTCTGCTTTCCTCAGGGCTGAGTCCAGGAATCTGCAGCTAAGGGTGGGGGCAGTAGTGCTGCAGATGTGCAGGGCTGGGGAGTGGAGTGTCCCAGCAAGATTTGGCATGAGTGTCACCCAGGGAAGGCTTCTGGGCCAACCCTCTGTCCTTTGGCTTCCATTCTCCTCTTGTCCCACTTGGGGACTCCTAGGGTTGAGACAGTCTCTTCTCTGATGCCTCTTATCTCAAGAAGTTCTAACTACATGGGAGCTCCTTCTCCCCAGCAGGTAGACTCTCCAGCACCCAGAGTTGTAACACCAGTGAGGTCCTGCCCACCTCTAGCTCCCCTCCCTCTCTTCTTGAATTTTTTTTTTTTTTAAAGAGAGAGGAGAGAGAGAGAGAGAGAGAGAGAGAGAGAGAGAGAGAGAGAGAATTTATTTATTTTATTTTTAGTTTTTCGGCGGACACAACATCTTTGTTTGTATGTGGTGCTGAGGATCGAACCCGGGCCACACGCATGCCAGGCGAGCGCGCTACCGCTTGAGCCACATCCCCAGCCCTTGAATTTTTTTTTGAGGGTTGCTAGGGAGCAAATCCTGGGGTGTTGTAACTCTGAGCTACATCCCCAGCCCTTTTTATTTTTTATTTTGAGACAGGGCCTCGCTAAGTTGTGGAGGCTGACCTCAAATTTGCCATCCTCCTGCCTCAGCCTCCAGAGTATTGACTGGCTCTTCTAGCACTTCTTTCTTTCTATCTATCTATCTATCTATCTATCTATCTATCTATCTATCTATCTATCTATCTATTGTGGTACTGGGAATTGAATCCAGGGGTGCTCTGCACTGCCGCAATCTGGATGGGCACAAATAACCGGGAGGTCACGAGCCACTTGTAGGTTCAAAACAGGAACTACTTTATTTCGAGAACCCCACGGGAACTTAATGGGAACTTAATGGGAACTCAACGGGAACTCCTCGAGAACTCAAAAGTAGCGGGCACCCAAGGTAGCAGGAGCCGCCTTATTGCCAGACAGCAGAGGTTTATATACACAACTGAATACACAGCTTTTTTCAATAGCATCATCCAGTTACAGCAATCAGTCATTATCTTAATAATTATACACAGCTAAACTTAATTATCATCATCTTAATGGCTCACTGGCGTTACTTCTCAACCACTCCTTCTGGCAAAATGCCAGGCGCCATCTTGACTTGGTTGTGGCTCTCAACACTGCACAGAACTAAATTCCCAGTCTTATTTATTTATTTAGAGATAGGGTCCCACTAAATTGCCCAGGCTGATCTCAAAATTGAGATCCTCAGCCAGGCGTGGTGGTGCATGCCTGAAATCCCAGTGGCTCCTGAGGCTGAGGCAGGAGAATTATGGGTTCAAAGTCAGTCTCAGCAATTTAGCAAGGCACTTAGCAACTCAGCAAGACCCTGTCTCTAAATAAAATATAAAAAAGGGGCTGGGGATATGGCTCAGTGGTTAAGCACCCCTGGGTTCAATTCTCAATACCAAAACAAAAAACAAACAAACAAAAAAAACATTGAGAACCTCCTCCCTCAGCTTCCAGAGTTGCAGGAATTAAAACTGCACCTGGCTGTGCAGGACATTTCTGTATTGTGTTGTTAACTTTGTGGAGTAGGTTTTATTATTTCTCCCATTTACAGCTTAAGAGACTGAAACTTGGAGAGATCAAATAACTTACCCAAGCTCACACACCAAGGAGTAGTAGCTAACTTTTACTAGGAGATTAGTTCATGCTGGGAGGCCTTCTAAAGACTTCACACAATGATTAAAATATTTAATCCTCCAAATAATTCAGTGAAGTGGCTTTTTCATACCGGCAGCCCCTGGTATGGGCATGAAGGGGTTAAGCCCTGGGAGGCTGGGCAGGGCCCAGCTGGGATGCTGTCAATGGCAGGAAACCTGGCCTGCCAGGGGAGGACGGCCGGGTGTCTGACAAGGCAACCCCCATCCCTTTGGTCTTAAAGGAGCATCCGGGTTGGGTGGAAAGGCAGGAGGTGGGGGCTCACTGCTCTGTTCTGGGGATCAGGATGGATGCTAGACTTCAGAAAGAGGGAATGGGGGGGCACTACAGGTGCTGCCCAGACAAAGTGACTCCCTCGGTGAGTTAGAAGTGGCAGGCCACTCAGGAGTGCTGTCAGAGAGGAGAGATGACAGTCCTGCTCTGGGAGCCCCCGAGGCCGAGGGCAGTGACACCACTCTGCCCTTGGGAGCCCCCAGAGCTGGGTGAGGGGGGTTCCAGAATCTTGCTCTCAGCACCTGTCCCAAAAAGCCAGTGGATTAGTCCTGAGGGACAAGCAGACCCCGGGCCACACAGGCAAAGCAGGGACCTGGGGGAGAGATCAAATGGAAGGGGCCTTCTGGGGGAGGTGCTCTGAAAGTATCATTGGGGGGGGCAGAGAGGAGGGACAGGTTGAGAGTCTGTCTGGCCTGCCTGTCTCTCAGCAGCCACACTTGCTGTGAGCAGGGTCATTTCTCTCTCTGGTCATGGGTCCCCAGGGAGATCCCTTAAAGTGGCTCCTTCCGGCCCTAGAGCTGGGACTAGGAGGTGGGGGGGGTGAGGGGGAGGCCATGTCTGGGGGATGTTTCCTTCCTATTTCCGACCTCATTCCCGGCACCTTTGTGGGTTGGGAATGGGCCAGAATCAGTCAGCTCCTTTTAGGAGGGAGGAGGATGGAGGAGCAGAATGATGAGAAAGGTCCGGAAGGCCCTCAGACCCCACACTCACATTGTCACAGAGGGATACGTGTCCCCTCCCTCACCAGCCAGACATAGCTCCCAGGACACAGCCACTCACACCTCAGTCCTGCCCTTGATTCTAATCCTGGCCTCCCACTCACCTACTGTGTGGCCTCTAGCGGGAGTTTAACCTCTCTGGGTGTCCTTTCATGTCAAATGGGATCGGTGGGACTTTGCTCCGGTGTGGTAAGCAGATGCCAAGCAGTGGGGACTGAGAGAGCACCCTGCACCTGGAAATGTCCGTGGACCTGACCCTCTTTGGCCCTCCCAACACCTTCCTGGCATCTCTGGCCTGGATCTTTTTTTCCCCAGCTCACAGCTTGACTCTCAGCTGCTAGCAACAAATCACTAGGGCTACCTGCGAGGCGCTGGGGTCAGCAGCTGGGTCAGACGTGACTGCCCTCAGGAGCTCAGCAGCTCAGCAGCCTCCTGAGGGAGGGGTCACAATTCAGGGGCGATCGGGCTGGAGACAGATGAACAAAGCGGATGACCCAGGGAGGGAATTGGTTCTGCCAGGGGCGGGTGGAAGCTTCAAAGAGGAGGGGATCTGGGCTGGGCCTGGAGGGGATTTCTGAGGAGGTTGGGGGTGGGGAGTCTGGGAGGGTCGCTGGAGGAGAGGACAGCTGGAGCCAGGGTCTCAGCATGGGCACAAGCTAGGGAGGGGTTGCATAGGGGTGGGGAAGGTTCCAGAGGACGTAGAGAGAAGCTGAGGTCCACAGAGGGGAGAGGCCGCCAAGAGAGGCCCCTTGCTGGGCTGGCCTCCTTTAGACCCACGGAGATTAGGCAGCCGCTCCGCTCTAATTCAGGCTTTCCGTTTTGGGAAAGAATCTCAGCCACAACAATAGCCTGGCTCCAGCGCCGGTCCCCTCCAAGGGGCGTGGCTCTGAGCAAAGCCAGGCCTCCGGCACCTACCGCTGGGACTCACGGGAATGAATAGAGGGACAGCAGGAGAAGATGCCATTTAACTTTTGCTTGTGACCACCCCCGTGTTGCTAGTGAACACTGTGCTTTCACAGAGCTCATCACCTGGTGTTAGGAGGACAAAACCCAAATCAACCACATTTACGGTTTCTAGGTGCTAGTCACCCTGTTAAGTGCTTACACTCAGTACTCCCATCACTTCTTACAAAACCTTTGTGAAATGGATGCTGTTATTATTCCTTTTTTTTCCCCCCCTCTGCACTGAGGATCAAACCCAGGACCATTCGCATGCTAAGTTAACATTGTACTGAAACCGGAGATCAGACTAGTTTCCCTGCTTCGACAATTTTATTCTGGGTTCTTGTTTCGCAAAATTTGCAGAATAAAGTCTGCAGATAATCATGGAAGGGGAGAGTACATGCAGTAGGCAGTAGGTATTACTACTACTACTATCATCATCATCATCATCATCTTGGTACCAGGATTGAACTGAGGAGCACTCAACTACTGAGCCACATCCCCAGCCCTATTTTATTTTTTATTTAGAGACAGGGTCTCACTGAGTTGCTTAGCGCCTCCCTAAATTGCTGAGGCTGGCTTTGAACGCGCTCCTCCTGTCTCAAGCCTTTCAAACTGCTGGGATTACAGGTGTGCGACATGGCCCCCGGCTCTGTAGATTTTGTTTGAACGAGAAAAGAGAGAATCCTGCCGTGGGGGAGGGGGCCTGGTAGCAGAAAAAAACCATTTGGTGTGTCAGCTTAGGAGTTTATGGAGTACAATTCTGGGTAAAGTTTGGAGCAAAATACTGATGTTTTCAGTAAAACAGCACCAAAGTCATTGATCAAAATCTATGTTAAACAGGCATTGAAAAAGCCTTAAGGCTGTCACCTTCCTATACATTTTATCGGGTTCATCCCCACTTCCCGTTTTTCCCACCTCTGGGACAAAGGAGCAGGCGGAGGCGGTCTCACGGGTGAGCCTCAAGGTCTTTTACAGAGGAAATCAGCCTGGAGGGTGCTCATAGTATTTCTAGCAGTTTGCCTGC